TTAATAGATTCAATAAGCAATCCCTTCTAACCTACTTTCTATTGTTTTTGAGAATTTTAATACCTTTGCAAATTCAACTCTTTCTTCTTTTATTAAATTTAAATTTCTACAATTTCTTACTTTTAATAATATATATAATTTGGCAGCTTACACCACCTCATCCTTACCTACATGGCAAGGTTTTAGATATAGCAGTGAAATTAACTTTATCTAAAGTTACTACACTATTCTAACTTACTTAACTTATTTGAAACTGATAATACTAATACTAGTTCACTTAGTGATTACAAAATTCTTATTTTTTGCTAGTTTTTTCCTTATACTCTACAGGGTTAAAATAGATATAGAACTTGAACACATCAAAGAGTTTATAATTACAAAGTTATAAACTCTACAAAGTGAGAAAATTTTGCCAACCAAGTTTTTACCAATCTTATTTCTAACTCTACTCTACTTTTTATTCATACTGATGAATCTTTTGAATCTAACTTGCATAAAATTCAAACTAGTATTATCTCTGCTGCTCTTCAACATATCCCTAATAAAAAATTTATAGTCTGTAATTTTTAATATGTATTTTCTTCTAAAGTATCTTCACTCTAATTTCAAAAAGCTTGGCAATATTATTCATCATACCAAATATTTTCTTAAATTCAATATATCTATCCTCTTATACTTTAATACTACTATTTCCTTTCTTAACTAATACGTAAGTATACAAATTCTTATTATTCCTACATCCAATCATCTTCTCTCATCTTGAATCTTTAAGGCCAATGAAAAATAGAAAAATATTTACCATGTCTGGAACATTAAAAATATCAAAAAAAACAAACAATATACTAATAACTTCATAGCATCCTAAATCATTACAAAGATCAGATCCTGTTAAATTTAATAATATCAAGCTTAATCACAATATTATTACTGATTTTTCAACTATTAAATCACATATTCAACAACACTTTGATAACTGGACTGCTTACCTTGACTTTAACTATAGTATTATTGAATCTCATTAGCAAACTAAATATAACCCAAACAATGGAAAAAGTGCTGTATCTTTCCTATTTTTAAAAAACCTATTTTTGATGGCATATATATTAAACTTCTCACTAATAGGCTTAACAATACTTTGTCTTTATACAACATTCTTTCTTTTTTTAACTATGTTGCTCTTTCTGGCAATTCTATATCAATTCCTATTCATATTTTAAATAATACTATCAAAGATACTAATTGCCAATTCAATCAACTTTGGCTTCTCTTATAGAATATGAGTAAAGCCTATAACTCTGTTAACTTTAAACTCTTTTAAAAATTACTTTATAGACTCCAAATGCTCTAACAGCTTATTAATATTCTCTCTAATATTCTTTTTAATTGAACCAACCATGTTATTACCAACCTTGGTCTTACTGATTTTTATCTAGTTAAAAATAGTATTAATCAAAATTCTTTTGGTAAATTTACTATAACTCTCTAATTTCATATATCTCTTTACACTTTTCTAGCTACACACTTTTTACATCTTAGCAACCAAGTCTTACTTACTTATTTATTAAACACTATTACATTTCTGTATTATTCTAGCCTATATGAATAACACTATTTGGATTACTCAATCAAAAGAAAAACTTGATAAAATTAGTGATACTGCAACCTTATCCTCCTACTTATAATATGCTTATTTCTGTTACTAATTGAAAAAAGTAACATGTCCCATAAAATATCTCTGCGTCAACAGGGTATTTTATAGTGTGTGTTACTTTTTTCAATTAGTGACAGAGGTTTGTGCATTATAAGTAACTCTATTAATCAGAGATTGTTAAAGTCCACCTTAGTGGTGGGATCACATAACTTTTGCTATTTTGCATTTTTGCAAAATTGGCAAAATTCAAACTCCGCTGAAGTGAAGTTTAAAACTTTACCAAGTGGCAAAAGTTATGTAATCTGTGTGACAGAGCATGTTTCTATTTTCATCGTTGATTTAAAGATTAATATGACCCTGGAAGAAATAATAAATTGTGGCAATATAGAAAATGCCAAGCTAAACAATACAATAAAATAGCTACATGTCTTTAGGATTTGTGAAATATGGTACTACTATACCCAAGCTAAATGGGAACTTCTCTAATCCCAGTACCAGTAATCCAACACTATATGAAAAATCGACTACGAAGGGCTCAAACATGCTTCAAAATAGAAATTCAAGTGCCTGAAGTATACTCTACTATATAAAGTTATAAAATAAATAAAGATAGAAAAACATATATAAAAATTTAAAAAAAAAAAGTAAAAAATTAAAAAAAAAAAGAAATGCATTTTTGATATACTAGACTAGAAGCATATAGCTAAAAAAACATAGTATTTACAATGTATATTTGATTTTATTTAGTAAATAAAAGAAAAGAATGCCAATGGCATACCTTAGCGTTCATTGCTAAAGGTTGTTAAAAACAAAAAAAAATAGATTAATATAAAGATTATTTTAAGTATCATATTGAATAATCGTCAACTCTTTTTGACAATCATCTGGACCAAAATTTTCTACCAAAGAAAAACCAAACTCTTGTTGGAGAGGTGTGGCCTAACAAACTGTTTGTCTGGAGGTTAATATTTTCTTTGTTTTGGAACTCTTCTATAAGTTGTATATTTAGCATGCAAGACAAGAGCATTAGTATTCAAGATAACTGGCTGGAGATGTGTGCTCTTAGATACAAAATCTTGGTGATGAGACAAGTATCTTTGCCGTTAACAAAGTTCTTAAGCTGTTATTTCAAAGAAGAATACAGGAGAAACAACAAGGCTTTGCTATTCTTTAAGCCACACTCTTTTACTTGGCCAAGTGGTTCCTATTTTATCTTTACTCGCACTCTCGTCATTCTTCCAAAATTTTCTACAAAAAGTGGGAATTTGGCTTACCCCCTCCATTGTTTACTTTCCAAATTTGAATGGACTCAGTAAAATGCAACTATGTGATGTGTCTGTTTACAAATACAGTACTACTCTGGAAAAGTCAGATCGGGACTTCTGGTTAAAGAGATATCCGAAAGCAGTCATAAGTCGGAAGAACTTTGTATATTAAGATGAAGCTTTACATTAGAGATATACAATTGTTGCATTTGTTATATAATTTTTTAGCCTTGCACAGGTTATAATAGTGTATTCTTATTATGTAGAGAGATGTAATTTCTCTCTATATTTTATTCTAGTTTTATAAAAAATTTTTTTTATTTTTTTTTGTTTTTTTTTTGGGGGTTTTTTATTTTTTATTTACTTCACTTTTTCTCTTTTCCTTCTTTTATTCATTTCCTCTTTTTAGTTATAGTTCATTTTCATTTTTTATATAATTTTTTTTTGGATAATTCCAGTCATCTGTGATCTGGTAGGATGGAGTTGCTCTTAGGCCTGAGTTAGGTTTCACACCACAATATGAAACTAAGTAAAGTCAGACTTCTTATCTGAAAATTATGTACTTATGTTTTCATAAATATTAATAAAAAGATTATCACAATAAGATCTGTTGATATTTGAAAAAAAAAATTATATTGAATAATTAATATTGATATATCAATTATGTGAATTGGATATATTATTGAAAAGACTAATATATGTATTAGTAATGGTCATATCAGCAATTCTTTATAAAATTTTAATATATCACTTAAACCGTTTGTCATTTCACGGCAAATTTGCCCTGAAATTTTCCAATGATCACTTATATTATAACAGTGACAAAATAATAGCAAACATGATACCAAATTTTATATCACAATGTAAAAACAGTATTTATTTTATTGTTTATATTCATAATACTCAATAAAGCAATTTGGACGTTGCTTATTGAAACATAAAGGTACATTACATGTTTTGCACCACACCTGTCCTCGTGATGAATTTTTATCATATTTCTCTTGCTCAGCCATAGTTTTAAATCGGCACCTAACACAGGAACCTTTATCTTCACGATATATTGGGTAGTGACTTTGTGGGGATAATCATTCAATGGGTAAGTCAAAATTTTTTGTAGTATAAAATGTTCTTTGTCGATCATTTTGTAATTCAGACTGAAATTTTTCCTTCTTTGTCTGTGTATTTAATTGTTGGCTCATTTGAATTATTTCAAGTGATTCTTCTACTAAATTCCATGCCAAGCTTATCCTGAAATCTTTGTATGCCATTACTAAATTAAGATTTTTTGAAATTAAAAACGTATTAACAATGCTGGTATCCAGGAGCCAAAAAAATAATGGCATCCAAGTGCGACATACAGGAACTTGTGTACCATAATATCCCCTTAATTAATCAGCTATATCAACACCACCCATATGATAATTGTAATCATCTATTACAGCAGATATAGGAAGAACTTTTTTACTTTTATTACCAAACACACTTCGTACTTTCACAGCATTTGTACTAGTTGTACGTGGTCTTCTTCTTTCTCGTTCTACTCGATATTCCTCACCTGAAATTTCATGTATAGTCGTTAACATGGTCACTGGACCATTATCCATCCAAAATACAGCTAAAACATCATCTACAACTACTCCAGAAAGAGTATCCCATTCTAACCTTTGTGATTTTTTTATTTTTAAACAAGTAGGAAATTTTGAAGTATTAGTTCTTACTGTTCCACACCACCATATCCATTTTTTCGTATATAACTAAATAGATTAATACTAGTAAAAAAATTAGTCATATAAATTTCAAATTTTTTACCCTTTGGAAGTTGAGATATTAAATGATAAACCTGCCAACCAATTTTATTAATATTCGGAATTGAATTAATTTAGAATTAGATTCAATAGATTCAATATGGGAAGTAAAAATAAAACAATAAGTATATCCTGAATTACATAATGAAGTATTTTGTATTCTTCTGGTGTGGGTTTATTTTTAATTCGTACTGTATGACTGCTTCTCCCTCTAAATCTAGCGACCATTTCATCAATTGAAACTTGTGATTTTGGTAAGTAAATTGATTTAGAAACTTTCTAAATATGCAATGCCAAGGGTTCAATTTTTGAATACCATGGTAACTGTGATGTTTTTGTTTCAATTTTTGCAATATGAAGGTATTGCTTTATCTTTTATTTTAAAAAAAAAATTTAATAAAACAAAAAACAAATTTAAATAAAAATTAAAAAAAAAAAAACATAACTTGCTTAAAGCGAACTAAAGTCATATATTTAGTAATTTTATGTTGAGGATACTTCCAATCTGTTTTCCAATAATCTTCCCAACTTGGTAACTTAAAAACACCCATATAAATTATTTTGGCAAACCATATTAACAATTCTTCAATTGTTAAAGAATCCTATTTATGCCCTTTACTAGCCAATTTTGCCATTGCATAATAATTTGTATTTTCAATAATAATATTTAATTGTGAATCAGAAAAAAATAGACAAAAAATTGAATATGGAGTAATTTTGCCAATAGATAATTTATCAGCTACTTTTACTTGAGAAATATGATATGATTTAGCATGCTGAAATTTTATAAATTGCAGTGGTAATGGTAAATTTAATTAAGATACTTTTTTTTTTTTTTGTTTGACTATGTTTATTAATTTTACTAATTTTTTTTTTGGTTTTAATATTCGCAGTTTCTTCTTCAGCTTCGTCAGCAGTTTCCTCTTCAGTTTATTGGCAAATTCGTTTTCAACTTCATCACTATCATTGTCAGTAATATCTCTAACTTCATTTTCAATTTCCTTCTCAATATTTCGTATAAGCTCAAAAATATATGAATCAGTATCTTCAATATCATCATCCATATCGTATATCTTGGTTGAAAAGTAATATTAAAGTGGTATGTAAAAAAAAAACAAGTAAATAAGAAAAATTACAATGATCGTAACAATGATCGTAACGAAGATCGTGATCGACAAAGCTAATAGAAGATGATCAAACCAAAAAAAACCAATACATTATATAATACTAAAAATTAATGAATTTCTAAATAAAGAAAGTCAGGTTTTTTAGATCAAATAGGTAAAACCTTAATTTTTACCATGATACAAACATTATATGAATTACAAATCGAACTTCAAAAATTTCAAGGCAAATTTGCAGGAGAAACGGTTTAAGGGATAGTACAAACATTTCTAATCAAAATACTAAATTCTAACTTTAAAGAGCTATTAGAATAATGAACTTTCTTATCCTAATACTAATGATTATCCAGATATTTTAGTAATCTGAATTATCTAGATAATTCGGATTGGAATGAAGAGATATCAGAAGTACAAATATCTATAATCAAAATATTAGATTCAAGTGAAATAGTGATGGTGCAAAAATTTGATACTCTCATAGTTTTTATTTAATCTGATTGTAAGATCAATGGTTAACAAACAAATGCAAAGTTAAAAAATTAAGGTAGAAAAAAACAGAAATTATGTAAAACTCACAAATCTGCAAAGAAAATTGGTTTTTGTTATTATGTAAAAGTTTTAGCACAAAAGTTTAGAAATATTTTTTCTACTTTGAATTAATGCAAACATTAATTTTTTAATCATTTTTTTGTGTAAAAATGAAGTGCAACTTACATTCTTAATTTATTTCAAATTACTATAGTTATTTTTATTATTTCTGAAACACTTATAAAAAAATTAGAAGAAAAATTTTTCGCTTGTAATTTTTTCAGCATAATAAATTCAATAAAAATTAAATTTTTGAATTCATTCAATTTTAATTTACTATAATATTGATATAATATTTTTGAATTTCTTTAATATTATTTACTGAATATTGATATAATATCTACGTCTAAATTAAATCATTGTTCCAATTTTTATTATTATAATGTAAACATTGTTAAAATTTTATTTAAATGCTTGCCTAATATGTTTAGTGTATTTAATTTGTATGAAAGTTTATAACAAGAAATATAAAAAAGGCTCCAGATATCAAATTAGCTTTTATAGTAAATATATTACACAATCAGATTTTAGTATTAAAAAAGTTAGATATAATTAAGAATTCGTTAATTGAACTGAAAATTTAGCTAAAGTCAAGATTTCAAAAAATCAAGACTTAATTAATATTTGTCAAAAATGCATTAAAAATTATAATCAACAAAATCAAAGTGAAACAGTAAATCTAACAATTAAAGTTTCTCTAGAATCTTTATCGTCACGGCAAATAATTTTGAGTTATCTGACTTGCCTAAAGTAATCTCAACTGATTCAGAAATTAATAGTGAAAAGATTATGAATTGAATATTATTAATATGAAAGAGCCTGAATCAGGAGCTATTAATACGAAAGAGCTTTTTATAAATAAAAATATATATAAATATATGAAATATTACCTTTTTGTGCATATATCCAAGTTGGTGTATAGTGCTCCAAATAGTTGTAAAACTAATATTACATCTCAATCAAAGTTTTATCTCAGATTGTAATTTATACAAGTACTAGTTAGATTTTTTTTTATTAAAACTTAAAGATAATTTATATTATTCATGTTTAAAAAATGTAGTTTTTTCAAAAGTAATAGAAGTTTTTCAATACAACCATATCTTTAAAAATGCACAAGAACCTGACTTATAGAAGACCTGCTAACATCTGAGTGTTTTGCAATTTTTTGAATTGATAGGTCTTCTAAATTTTTTTCAATAATTTGCAAACAAATGTGGTTTAAAAATATCATATTTTTTGAATTCAACAATAAAGTGCATAATTTTTTATTTATATTAGCTATCTGATTTTAAATTATATATATATTACAGTATTATATCAATTTTTACTAAATTTATTATGCTGAAAAAATTACTAGCTGAAAAACTTTTTGGCTAATTTTTTTTATAGGTATCCCAGGAATAATAAAAACAGCTATAATGTTAAAATTATGAGTTTTATAACTATGAAGGTAAATTCGATTATTATCCAAGCCAAATAAAAGATCAGTAATGATGCTATCCGTAGAGAAATAAGTTATAGTAATTTTTAGTTTAACTCTAAGAATTAGCAAAAAATTAAAAACTAAATTTCAATAATATTTAGTTCTAAGAGCTAATTTATTTAGGTCTAAGAATTAGCAAAAAATTAGAAACTCAACCTGAGCAACGCCGGGTCCTAAGAGCTAGTTTTATAATATAGCCAATATTCAAATCAACTCTTCTGAATCTATTCTGAATCTAAACATCAATCTGCCTCTATTTTCTCCTTTAATTCTCATCTTTTATCTTTCATCTATACTAATTCATCAACTATTTAAGTTCTTGAACTACTAGTTTACTCTCAATTATAAGCACATACAACAAATTCAACTTATTCAAGATAAAGCTTTACAGTTAGCTAATATTGCTAATACTAAAACTATTACTAATAAACAAATTACCTATATAATTAACACTGTTATTATTTTTACTACTGAATATCCAAAAAACTCTTTTTGATAATCACTGTAACCAAAAACAAAACAAAAAAATTCTAGTATCTCTTAACCTATCCATTTTGGCAAGCAAATTTGCCTGCTAAAATTGGTAAGAGAAAATTTTATAGGGTAAAAAAAAAAATTATGAAAATCTTTACTTAAATTGATCAGAACAACTCTTTAAAGCATAGGTCACATGGTGTAACTACAAAAATTAAGTATAGCACATGTTGCTAATAGAAACAAAAGACAGAAATAAGGTCACACAAAAAATGCAACAGAATTATCAAGAATTTTTTTTTGTAATTTAAAATTTTGAGTCTTCCAAGCAGATTAAAGTATCATATGCTTAAATGAAGTTGATAATGTAGTCAAGATATTTATGATTTGTATTAGTATCATTTAAAATTACAATTCTGGCAGCACCAAATCAAATTTTTAAAATTTTTAATTTTTTTGAATTTTGATTGTAAAATTTAATAATCGATTATATTATGCTTAGTACTATTAGGATAACTTATATTAGTAAATTGATAAATTAAAGATGTTTAAATGTATACAATTAAACCAAATTTAATAAATAAAAAATATTTAAAAGTTTTTTTTTTTGCAAAAATTCTTTTTCATTGTTTTTGACCCCAAGAAGCAGTTCATCTGCCCACCCACCCAATTAATATTAGCTTTGGCCTATAGAACTACTTTACTATCTACTCGCCTAGCTAACATTGTTAATTATTCTTTAATGTGAAATCCAAGAAAACAATTTCAACTTTTGTTGCAACAGAGAGGCACATTACATGATAAACACCAAATTTGACTTTGGTGTAGTGTTTTGCGATCTATTTCATGCTTGCTAGCCAAGTACACCATCAGCATGCTTCTCTTAGTTCTTTCTACACAGAAGATGATTTCCAGGTATAAGCTGTTGATCTAAAAGCTTAAAATACTTCATGACTTTAGATTTTTTCGTTTCTTTTTTTAAACTATCACTATTCCTTAACTGAGGTTCATCTTTATTATTTGCAAGCTCAATTAGATTCCAGACAAGCTCACTACAGAATTCTTTATGCTCTTGCTTTGATCCTAAAATCTTGGTAATTAAATATGTATTAATAATCGAAGTATTTAAAAGCTGAAAAAAAAGAGATATCCAATTGTGTTACGTAGTTAGTTGGGTGTCATAATAAGATTGAAGTTGATTAGCAATATCCATGTTATTTATATTATTATTGTAATCATCGATTACTTTTGGAATTTTAATTTTTTTTTGGTTTAGCACCAAATACTGCATGCACTTTTGCTACATTGGTGCTTATTTTTCTAAGTCAACGTTATTCTCATTCAATTTTCCATTTTTCACCCACAAGGCCATGAATTGTTGTTAACATCGTAACTGGCCCATTGTCTTGCCAGAAAATAGCTAATGTACCATTTACATCAACTCCAAAATGAACATCCCAATCAACTTGACATACTTATCAATTTTTAATACTTTTGGAAACCCAGATAAAGTTTTTTGAATGGTCTTGCAGGCCCCAACACCAATTCGGCAAAAATACTGAAAGAAAGAAACACTGCTAAAGTAATTGTCCATATATATGTTGTAAGGAAATCATTGATAAGGAAGTTGTTCAGCAAGGTGAACAACTAGAAACCCAACTTTTCTAAGACCATTTACTTGGGGCACATCATTCAGGGTGATGTGCAATGTTGATAAGAAAGTATAAGTGTAGCCAGATTGACAAAGAGAAAAAACTTTAAAACCCTCTGGAATGAGTTTATTTTTTATTTGAACTGTATAGACACTTTTTCCAGAAAACTGGATCATTATTTCGTCTACAGAAATATTTGAACCTGGTGTGTAGTACTGTTTTGAAGCCTCATAAACATGTGAAAGCAATGGTTCTACTTTTTCAAAATAATAGTTTAATTTTGATGCAGGGGTGAAAGAGGAGACATGAAAATACTTTTTTATTAATTCAAAGCATTTCAATGACATAAAATTTGAAATATGATGAACTGGGAGTTTTGAATCTTCATTCCAATATTGGTCAAGGGACAGCAACTTAAAAAGTCCCTGGTAGATAACCAAAACAACCCAGACAAGAAGTTCTTTGCAGGTTATATTTTCCCATTGTCTACCACTAGTACCTGTGCCATTTATTGAATCATAATCATTTGTATTTGTAACTATTGTATCCATCATAAATGGTTAAAAAAAAGTAAAAAAAAATCAATTGGCCTGGAAACACCAACATCAAGGTACACCGGCAACTGAACACTTGCATGATATAAAGAATTAGGGTGAACTAATGGTTCAAAGTTTGGTGGTGGTGGTGGCAGTTGTGGGGTTTGTTTGTTTTATTTTGTGGACACTTTTTGCGTCTATTGTAGC